GGGTTAGCACTCCGAAGCAGCGAGGTAGCTTTACGGCTTTTCATTTAAGGGGATGCACATTAACTGTGCAATGGAGACTATCATATCCACAGGCATGTTATTTAACTTCATGATGTTATAAATTTCTATTTATCTTCCTGATGTTGATTTTGTATTGTGACTTTTCATTTAAGAGAATGTATAGTAACTGTGTAATGGAGACTACTATATCCAGATATGAGGATACAATGCAGTATGCATCTCTAATTCCAGATCAAAGATGGGCTCCCAATAAGACTGTTAATTATATCTTGACAATAGGATGCTGGACACTACCATTGTCCATGCCTGCAATGATGGGCATGTCACTGCTTATGAAGAACTATAGTAATAACACAGGGAACTCAGTGGGGAGGGGGTACTTGGGGAGGGAGGAAGGGAAATCCCAGGGCTTATGAAACTATATCATTAAATTACAATAATAAAAAAATAAATACAAAAATAAAACGAAATAAAATTAATTAAAGAGAAACACTCATAGGCATTGGCTCTCAGAAAAGTTGAGGAGGGGAAGTTAGCACCTTGACTGGTGGCAGCGTGGACATTGACGGAGTATTTCAAGGACCCCTTGGATGAGGGGAGGTGCCAACCTCTGGTTAGTGGTACCGCTACATTAATCTATTAAAACACTTAAGTCATTTACTTCCCCCTTTATGTTACTGTTAAGGAATTATATTGATTTTTAAAAATGTTCTACTACAATTAGACTACATTATTTAGGAGGTTTGTTTCACAGCAACAGAGTGCTACAAATTTGTGATTCAAAATGCCCAGGGTGTCTGAATTCAGAAGGTAGAACAGAATGAGATTCAGCGATCATTTAACTCACCTTCCCAGATTTTCAAAGAGAAAAACAAAGGCCCAAAAAAGATGAAGCAGCTTAAAAAAAAGAAAGTGAAACTATCAGAAAAAAGAACCCTTGTTTCAAGACTTCAATTTCTAAATCTTTGGCTATACACACACACACACACACACACACACATATACACACAAACACAAATTTGCACATTCTAAGCAAGATTTTTGAAAGTTCAAATTCTTTCCCCATCCCGAGATTTAATACTAGCAAATCAAACCACCTTCTTGCTCTGCCATGCCCACTTCCAGTTCCAGACAATGAATGTGATTGTGCAAGTCAGGCTAGAGATGACCTCAATGGCCAAGCATCCCTGGGGAACCAGAGTCGGGGGCACCTGTGCCAGGTGGAATCCATGCCAACACTGCTGCATGCCTCTGAGGTTCCATTTATTCCAGTTCAGTCCCAACAGAGGCCTTGTGGATGGGCCCAGGGATGGTCATTATATGCCTACCGCCAGAACAGCAAATTGCAACCTCTGCAAGATTATGTAAAAATCCATTTTCTTGCAGATTCTGTTACAAAAATATTGACATGTTTCAATTATCAGTTCTTTCAATTATAGAGTTAAAAGTCCTCCCCTTTCCCAAAGCTGCCAAGGAGGTCTGTGTCCCTGTGCCCTGCTCAGCACCGTCACAAGCCTTTACTCTAGCACCTGTGTGAACGGTGTCTATGGTGTTGTGTGGTCCAGCATATGGCTGAACTCAGCCTCTCTGTTCATAAACTGCCTACATGAGTTCATGGTGTGAACACTTCTGATCTTAACTAGAATTAATGTTTGCTTAAACGATGTCTCAGCTGTCAGAGTTTATGCATTGTTTTGAATTACAGTTCTGTCTCCTTGTTGGCGATGGGTCTCACTGTAGAGTTGGAACATACCAGCCACTTCCTTTTGACAGCCAGACCTGTAGTGCTCTAGGCTTTTGAGACCGTATCCTCCTTCCTGTCTCACCCTTCAAAATAGTTCACACAATCACTCTTTCCTGCTCAAGGCTGACCTAAACACATCAGAACATGTGAGAGGCGGGGAAGAATGCCTTGAGCCTAGTAATCTCAGCTGGCTCAGGCACACAGATCCATCCACATCCAACAAAGCTCAGAGCTAGAGGTTAAACATTTGAGCTCTTGATTCAGATGGATCTTGAAGGCTTCTACCTATGTGACTTTAAGCGGACAATCTAATATCTACAAACATTAATCTCCTAATCAGCAAAAGGAACAGCAGTATTCCTGGTCTCCCGGAGTACAATAAATATCACATGAGCACCTGTAAGAAAAGCCTGATATACATAATGTTAGCTATTTTTACAACTCTCTTTCCCAAGACACTGTTTAACTCTTGTGGTCCCAGAGGGATGACATCTCACAATTACACCTTTATAATAAAAATTAAATGAAAATCAATAGAGGAAGAAGACAGGACTTTTCCTGCAGTCGACGCAATTTCATCATCATTTCACTCGAACTGCAGAAAGAAATACGCTCAGCCGACAGGAAACACAGGCCTTTTATCTGGGTACTCGTTCATAGAGGCAGTCCTATAAAGTAAGCAGTTCTAATAGGATTTTTTGTTCCCATTTTTCAGATGAAGGTTCTGAGGCTCAGGGAGGTTCAGACAATTCTCTGGCCGAATCTGTGATTAGAACTAAGACCAAGATGCTGACATTGGCCAAGTTGAAAGTTTCCATTTTTGATCTGGCGCAGTAGCCTAGCAGCAAAGTCCTTGCCTTGCACATGCTGGGATCCCATAGGGGCACCGGTTCTAATCCCTGCAGTCCTACTTCCCATCCAGCTCCCTGCTTGTGATCTGGGAAGGCAGTTAAGAACGGTCCAAGGCCTTGGGACCCTGCACCGGAGTGGGAGATACAGATACTGGCTCATGGCTTTAGATTGGCGCAGCTCCGGCCATTGTGGCCCCTTGGCCCCTTGTGGAGTGAATCAGTGGACAGAAAATCTTCCTCTCTGTATATCTGTCTTTCCAATATAAATAAAATAAATCTCAAAAAAAAAAAAGGAAGGAAATCTTTCCATTTCCTGATGTTCCACAGGTAGAGGCAGGAGCTCTCCACTAGGGGGTGCATGTCATGGAATGTTAATGGTGTTTGGGGTATTCCATCAAATTCCTCAAGACAAGCCAGAAAGCAAACGTTCTAAATTTGCCACAATTACCTTAAGCAACTCCCTTAGTCCAACTAGATGACATTCCCAAAGCCTTTTCTATGTAGAAGTCCGGAATGCACACTGCATGCCTGAATATGAGGAAGTAAGGGTGTGATTTTCCAGAAACCCTTGAGGCAGTCCTAACAAGTCCCTTTGGAGGCCCTGAACTCGGCCAGTCTGAGCAAGAGGAGATCGTCATGTTCAGCTTCACAGTGTATGACTGCTTCCCCAGGACCCAGCAACAACACGCTGGCTTGTACTAGGAGTCTGTCCTGTGCAGATTTTAGAAAACTCTGGAGGGGGTGAGACCTCCAGCACTGGGCAGAGCGTGGTTCACGCCCAGGAGGCCACGGGCTCTGCCGCTGAGGTCCTGCCTGCAACAAAACAGCCTAAGTTTGCCTACTAGAGATTTCTGCACAGCTCACTCTTCAGTTGCTTCCCTAGTAACAACACTGCTCAATTTTTGTTTGTCTTTTGTTTCTTTTATTTTCAACTGCAGGGAGTCACATTCTCTCTTTTTTTTTTCCTTTCCTTCTTTTTTTTTAATGAGATTTTTTAACTCTTTGCCAAGTCATTTTGATTAAACTGAAACCAAGGAGTTAAGGAAGAACTGAAATGGCCAGGCTCTTGCACCCTTCCCTAGTACTAACAGTCGGTATTGCCGTCTGAGCACAGGCGCCCTGCAGTTTAGAGTCCAAACTACACCTAGCAGATCCCAGCTGCCCCTTCTCACACAAACACCACACAGTTTAGTAAGAAAAAAAAAAAAAAACTTTTGTTGTTTACTTATGTTAATCATCAAGCCAAAGCAAACAGACTTCCACTTTCTGAATCCAGGGTGCTAATTAAATTAAAAATAAAGATATCGAAGCTCCTCTGGACAAACAAGGGAGAGGAAAAAAGCCCTCTGTCTTGCTCACAAGGGAGCTGCGTTAGCAGCAAAGTCAGTTTCCCCAAATCTACTGTTTAGTCCATATGGTAAAGAAGAGGCCAAATAGACAAATTCCATGATGCTAGCGCTGGCAGAGGTATGCGCTCAATGCTAAGAAGAGAAGTAGGTATCAAATGAAAGTCGCAGCTACAGCTGCAAACGTGTGGTCCATTTACTCTCTTGCAGCTCATTTCTCACCCTTAAGGGCACAGGCTCCAGAAACAACTTCTCTAGTCACACTCAGAAATCAGACCTCAGGAGAGAGTAAAACTCCTCCCGCTCAGAGGAACCTGCAAAAGCAATCTTGTCTCCACCTCTCAGAAAATGTAGGCAGGAAAACCATTTCACCCAGCTCTGCACCCAGAGGAGCGTGGAATCTCGACCGACCGGCCAAACACCCACAGGGGAAGTGAACTTCTGCCTAAAATTGCAACACATCTCCTAGCCCTTGGCACAACTCCCCGAGATCTCCAAACTGCAGGCGGCAAATGGGGAAGGGTGCACGGGAATTTTGGCGTTGAAACATTGCTCATTAGCTTTGACTCTTTCCTGATTCAATTCCGTCAGCTGGTTTGTCCAGGTTTTGGAGAGGGAAATTTTGCACAGTAGAAAACCATGAATCGCGACTACTGAGTGAACCCGCTTTGCCACGTGCATTGCACTTCGTATAGCTTCTACACATACTACGCTTGGATGACTTGCAGGCGAAAATGAAGCACCTCCCATTAAGCGGAGTTTTCAGCCAGACTACCCAGCTCCTGTATCTTTCTATGTACCTTTTCTGGTACCTAGAAGGGGTGAAGAGGGACAAGTTGCCCAGGACGGGTAAAAGTTGTCACACACACACACACACACACACACACACACACACACACACACACACACACACACACTTCGGAAGAACTGCCGAACCCTTCAGGCTGCACCCACACAGCCAGGTGGCTTGCGCGGCCAGGCGCGGGCAGTGGGGCGAGAGAGAGGTGCCTGCGGCCCGCCCGGCGGTTAACCCCTTACCTTCCAGCAGTACTTCTTTGCCAGCACGCTTCAGAGCCTGCACCGCCTCGTCGTGGGTGGCGTCCCGCAAGTCGGCTCCGTTCACGGACAGGATGGCGTCGCCCACGTAAAGGGCTTGGGTCTGGTCGGCCGCCAGCCCCTTGAAGATCTTGCTGATAAGGATAGGCATCTTGTTCTCCTTGCCCCCCTTGATGCTGATGCCCAGGCCACCCAGCTCCTGCTTCAGCACTTTCACCCCGCGTTTCTGGTTTGAGATAGACTCGGGCACCTGCTCGGGTAGGTCGGTAAAGGCTGTGCGGACCCCGGAGGGCGAGTCCGGGGGTTGCGCGCCGCCCGCTCCTGGGTGCCCGGTCCCGGCGCCCCTGCAGAACGAGCCATTATTGGTGGTAGTCCCGATGCCGTTGTACGCCGCAGCGCCCTCCTCGCAGCTCAGAACCAGGGCGTCTTCGCTCAAGTTCACCAGAACTTTGTGCCAGCGATCCCGCACCAAAACTTCCAGCAGCCCGCTCCGCTGAGCCCGGCCGGCTCCCCCACCGGCCGGCCCAGCCGCTGCCGCTGCCGCCGCCGCAGCTACCGCCATCTTTCCGGCATTCTTAAAACGCCATGTAATTGCAAAGAGGGGTAAAAAGTGGGGAAGGGTTGCGGGGAGCAGGCCCCGGTGTCCGGAGCAGCGAGCTGAGAGCGCCCGGCACGCAGGCGGCTGCGCGCGGAGTTCGCAGGCGCACTCGGCGCGGGTTGGCAGCTGCAGCCGAGCCGGTTCCCCCTAGCCTGATCCTGGGCGGGGTGGAGCAACCTAAAAGAAGGAGAGACCGAGACAGGGGAGGGGAAAAAAAATCCAGCTGCCAGTTGCAAAACCCCTGGCCAAGGGGACCTGTACAACAGCCTAGCACTGGAGAGAGCCCGGAGGACGCGGCATGCCTCGGGGAAGGGCGGGGACCACGCGCCCTCCCGCCAGACGCTCACCTGTTCCAGCCGCCGCAGCGGTCACACGAGGCACTCCCGGCCAGACCTTGGCGCCCGGGGTTGCTTCCCTAGCGCCTTCCCTGTCCCACGTGTCGCCGCTCGCCGCAGCCCCCTTTCATCTCCGTGGGCGCCCACCCCTCATCTTTACCATGTGCGTCCTAGGTTCTGTCCTTTTCGCTTTCTCACCCAACCAGCAGAACTGTTCCTGAGTCTTAACCGTCGCTTCTGCCTGCAGTCTGGTCTCCCCAAGCCAGCACTTGGCAGGCTTCTGCTCTGTGCTTACCTGTGCCTGGTTTTCCAAAGACTCCCAGGAAGCAGTTAGACTCAGATGGGGGGCGGGGGGAGGGGGTCTGGCCAAACCTAGGCTCAAGAGGAAAAGCTAACCCTGCGATCTGTCCGGCCAGATTCCGCAAAGGTTCTCCACTGCCCCGAGGTTTTCAACAGGTCACTGCCTCAGACTCCAGGGACAACGTTTCTCCAGCTCATGAGCTGTGTGCTTCTGATCCGCTGCTTGCCACCCCAGCGCTGAGGCAACTGTCTCCTGTAGCTTCCTGCTTCTTGAGGTCCCGCTCCGGGAAGTCCTCTGATTAAGAGCTCTGATGGAAACATCTGTGTCTCCAGGGTTCCTTTGCACCTTTCTTGTTCTGATCTCAGGCTTTTTCTCAGGGTAAGAGTATTCAGTTTGTTGATCATCTTTCCAGGCCATTCCAGAAATGCCAACACAATCCATGGCACGGATGGATGTCCCAGAGTTCTCCTTTCCTTGAACCTTCAAGTTCTTTACCTCCGTGTCTCCCACAAGTGGCCTCAGATTCCTCACATAGTGTTTCTTGCTTCTCAACTACATCTCTGCCTCATTGCCCTTTCCTCTCACCCAGTAAGATGTCTAGAAGTCTGGAGAAAAGATATCTTCCTGAACACAGGTGTGTGTTCACCTTGATAACTCTTTTCTTGAATGTTCCTTGGCGCTTACTTTTACTCAGGGATGCTTAAGAACTCAGCTGCATTCCTAACGAATGGAGTTCCGGCCAGGGCCACAAGATGTACTGAAAACACATGAACTTTTTCTGGCCAACCGGAAGAGCCCTTGTGTTAATGTGCCCATTTGCAGTCCTCTCTCCTCAGCCTGCTCTTTCTTGTATTATTTTTTAACTCGTTTCCTCCCAGAAGCACTTTATTCTTTCATGTAAAGGTGCCCACAGCAGGGACCGCAGCTTCTGGGCCTCTTGAGCGTCTCAGTGAGGTGCGGAATGAGGCAGGACACTTGCACAGGTGGCACCAGTGATGGGAGGAAAGGCCACGTTGTAGAGGCTGGGGCCTCAGAAGCTTCGCTCTTCAGGCTTGCAGAGCCTGGTGTCTGTGTCCTAACCCTAGCACACGGAGGCTGAGCACAGACGCCGGAAGATCCCGGTGAAGACTGAGAAACCAAAACAGTCCTGCAGTCAGACCAGAAACCTTGCATCAACATCCAACAACGCGGGAGGCCAAGATACAACCACACGGCCCTTATCAGTTTGCTATAAGGCTTTGGGAAGGTATTTCTAGAATCTCTTTGAAAAACATATTTTCTCTCCCGTTTGAGAAAAGCTAGGTTGCAGAGGAATATGCTGCTTATGGCAAGTTGCATCAGAATGAGAGGAGACAAATATTTTATATAATTAGGCCTAAGGCATGCCTGTTTTGCAGGCATGGTTTTGCCAACAGACGTGTAATTACAGCCTCTCGTTTAAGTGCTTCACATATATTTTCCAGTCACTCCTCCAGGCAATTCTTGGGGGTCCTTACCATTATTCTGCGTCCCATCTCACAGGTGAAATAGAGCTGCAGGTTTAATAACTTGTTCCAGTTATGCAATTAGTCAAATGCACAGTTAGGATTTGAAACTAGCTGTGAAGGGTCTAAGCTCTGAGGTCTTCTGAAAATCCTCAGTCTGTTGGCTGTGGAGTCTGAGTTCATTTATGCCTTGAGGCAGCCTTGCCACTGGGCAGGAGACAAGTCCTTTCTCTGGATTGTAGGTGGAATGGTAACGTCAGCTGTGGATCCTGCCCTTCCTTTTCATTTTTTGAAAAAATTGATATTTAATAATTACATGCACTTATGAAATACAATGTGACTGAATTCAGGCGTTTATTATGTAATGAATAAAACAGGATATTAGCATTTCCATCGCTTGGAACTTTGATCATTTCTTTGTGTTGAGACTATTCAAAACTTTCCACCTAAGGCTCAGAAACACTTCACCCTCCTGATTTGACATAGCTGTTTTTTCCCCTTTATACGTGTCAACATAGGGAAACTGGTGAGCATTGCGATCTTGTGAGCCTAGGAGACCTTTTTTGTTGGATTCTTTCAAGTTTTATTTATTTATTCATTTACATTGTGTTTGAAAGACACAAAGATGGTAAGACCTTCCATTGGCTAAATCGTTCCATGACCTGAAAAGGCCATGACTGTTCCACATTGAAGCTAGGAGCCAGAAATTCAATCGAGATATCTGACATGTCAAAGACTTGCCTACTTACACCTTCACCTACTAACTCCCAGAAGGAGCATTAGCAGGAAGCTGGCTCTGAACTGGAGGAGCCAGGCAGCGGCTTAAGGGCTGGGCCAAAGGCCAGTTTCCCGGTAGCCTTATTGTCTGCCTCAGGCAATCCTGCATGTCTGGTCTCTAATCCTTCATTCTAACTCCCATCAAGAAATCCTACTGACCTCACATGGGAACCAGAGGGATTTTCAGCTTCCTTATGTGGTATTTTAATCTCACAGTGGAGCAATGAGGTACCCAGGGCCACACAATCAGTTCATGCCAATGCCATAGAGGTATTCCTGCAACCAGCTCAGCTTTAGTACGTCAGAAATTAGACCCAATGCCTCCTTTATACCACTGAGCCTTGCTCTGTTTCTTCCTTTTGTATGCAAATTTGCCCACCCATCCAAAATCAGGTCCTTCTCCCCACCATCCTACCACCCCTGCCCCCAGCAGATATGGTATTTCCTTTACAAAATAGGCAGGAATTAGACTTGCAAGAGCAGTCAAGTATACACTGCTCAGCTCCAGTAGAGCTGGATGGTGGAGAGAACAGTTTTCACCTGTTCATGTCACAAAGTTGTGTTGTATACCTGTCAGGCTAGGATGTGGGAACAGACCAGCCAGCAGAGCCCTGAACAACAACAAAAAAAATGTGTCATACTAGGTGGTAGGGTGGAGGTGGAGGAAGACTCCCAAAATGTAGGATATTTTTAAGATATAACTAAGTGTTGAGAAACCTAAAAAACAGAGTAAAAGGGATCAGGAGTGACCTATTAAGGAAAGCCTTTGTGAGAAGGTAACGCAAGGACTAAGTCAAATGGAGGACACTCTTTAGGGGAAAGTATCCCAGGTTAAGAGAGTCAGTGCAAATCATTTGCTTAAGAATCTAGCTTATCTGTTCAAGGTACAAAACTGAGGTCCAAGCGGTGAGGAAAACCTTGGGGAGAAGGAGGCTTGGGGGAATGGGCTGGATCCCTGCATAAAGAGCACTTTGGGGGATCACAGCACACACCTTCACCCCTTGTCTGTAGCTTCACTAATCACATGCCTAAATTTTGAGCAATATTGCTACTTTCAAATATTACTGTTATCTACTAAGAAGATGTCTACTTTTTAGAACACATGCTCCTATATTTAGTTTTGGAAATATGATTAGTATACTTGTGTTATTGTTTCCTAAAGAAAAATATTTTTTTAAAACCATTTATTTATGTGAAAGAAGGTATTAGAGTGAGTAAGAGAGAGAGAGAATGCTTTTATCTGTTGGTCATGTCCTAGTGGCTGACTACTGCTGGACTAGGAGAAGCTGGGAGCCTGTAACTCCATCTGGGTCTTCTTATGGGTAACATGGACACAAACAATGTTGTCATCCATTGCTTTCCCAGATTTTTTTTTTTTTAAATCAGGGGGCCTGAATTGAAAGTGGAGCAATTGAGACTCAAACTAGAATGCCTATGAGATAGCTTAACCCACTGCACCACTACTATGGCCTCCTGAATTAGGTGTTTGTAGGAGTATTTTCCCAATACACAGAATATAGGGTGGATGGAAAGTGAGCAGTGAAGAAGCGGACCCAAAGATCTAGTCAGGTTCTGGGAGTAAGGAACAAAATGAAGGAGGAGCAGCGGGGGCAGTGGAAATGCGACGCCCACTCTCCCAAGGCAGAGTTTATTTATGTAAATACATACAGATTTAACTTAATGAATAAAGAGCTAAGGGAGGTGCTGCAGGCCCAGAGATGGAAAGCTGGAAGAGGGGCAAGTATGCAAAGAACGCTTGCACAGAACTTGGTGGCTCTTAGCAGAACATGAGCCAGTCTGGGAACATTCTCCAGATTTTACATCATGAATGCTAGGTTAGTGATTCCTATCTTAAAGATAAAGCACTGGGAAGGAGGGAGGGCGCAGGAGTGTCCCAGTTGTCTAACAGGTGCATCATCGTTTTAATAGAGTTCAGAAACACCTGCAGGTCCCTGATAAGCTAGATAGACCGCCACTGAATTTGAGCTAGGCAGTTGGTCAGGCAAGCCTTTTTGCTTACTCATTGTGCTTAGACTGTCAAACATAATCAATGTGACAATTTTAGAAAGCAAGATATTTCATCGCATACTAGAAACTTTGTTAAGTTGGCCTAAGTAGGCAGAATAGACTCAGGATAGTGACAAAAGAATAAGAAATCAAAGTTATACCCCCCATACATCTTTAAGTTAATGAGATTACATTTAAAATAAACAATTAAAAATCTTGCTAAGCTGCTCTTCAGATTCCAAAAGAGGTTGGCTGTGTATGAAGAAATCTCGCCATCGCTTCTTTCTCTGATGCTTGCATTTCCTTTATGGAGTGCTTTTTGTGTACTGTCCCTCACCCATGAGAAATGGCAAACTTCCTTCCTTGCTTTGCATCACAATCTGATAGCACATGTTGTTTATAACTCCTTCCTGCCCCCACGTCCCTCCCCACCCTGAGACATCCTCTCTGTTAACTCTGTACTGAAGCCTCCGTGTGCATATTCTCTTTCAGCTCAGATGGATTTCTTAGCTCCTTCCACAGCATTATCCCTCATCCTTGGCTTTGCTTTCAATTTCAATTATCTGTGGTCAACTGTGGTCTGAAAACACTAATGGAAATTTTCAGGAAGAAACAATCCATACGTTTTAAATTGCTCTGCTGTGTCATGTGATGCAATAACGCGCCATCTACAAGTTCCTTCTCGGGACACTGATCATTTCTCTGTCTAGTGTATTTATGCTGTATATGCTGACCACTTCAAAGAAATGGAGAAAAAAGTGAGAGAAACCACTTTTACACAACTTTCATTACAGTTGTTTTAACTGTCCTATTACTAGCTATTATTGTTAATCTCTTACTGTGCCTAGTTGATAAGCTAAATTCTATCATAAATATGTATGTACAGAAAAAATAAAGAATATAAGGTTCAGTACTATCTGATCTTTCAGGCAAAGGTTGAGGGTCTTGGACTCTATGACAAAGGTC